CTTGTTGAAGCAGCAGTTTTAAGCTTGTGCTCTATAGGGCCCGTGGAAGCCCTGACGTTCTCTGGGGCTGGCACAGAGTGAAAGAGGGTGACGAAGAGGCTAGACTTCTAGTTGCCCCTTCCATTAAAGCATTCTGCTTTCGCCTGATCTCATGGTAACAGACTCACGATTCACTGAAAGTGAACAGATACCTTGTCCTGGCCATGCCAACATACCTTCTCCTGAGACAGAAGGCTTCCTGGGCTTAGAGACTGGGGGGCGTCCCCTCGGCATTTGGGACAGATCGGATCCTTATCTTTCCTGGGGACACAAACAAAGCCCACTGAGTGAGGCAGTTATGACTCCCCGGTCCATGGAGAGCTGGTCCCTCACAGCTCCACCAGCTCACGACAGGACCAGCAGCCTCCATCCCGATAAACCACCCAGCCTGTAAGTACCAGACACACAAATGGTAGGTGGGGCCAGAGAGATAGTACAGCGGGTAGGGCACTTGCCTTGCATGTGGCTGCCCCAGGTTCGATCCTCGGCATCTGAGCCTGTCAGGAGCGACTCCTGAGCACAGAGTCAGGAGTAAGTCCTGAGCACTGTTGGGGTGGCCCCCAAACAAACAAATAGAAATGGCTGTGTGCTGAAGTCTAAGGGGCCACCACTGCCTTCCCGGGATGATTATCACATCATGTACTTGTGGTTTTCCCCAAATCTGAACAAATTTAGAATCCCCAGATATATGTGACTCAGGGCTTGGGGATGCATAATTGTGTCTTCATTGGCTCTTCTCAGCTTCCTTGATCTGGTTTTTGTCCTCTTGTTTTAGGAATCATGGAAGATCATGACCTCTTATTAAAAAAGTCACAAGGGCCAAACACTTTCCTTGCAGGTGTGAGGTCCTGGGTTCAATCCCTGGTGCCACAAATTAAATTCGATCAAAAGTAAGGGGTGAAGTGGGCTTTTGTGCATTTACCAAGTGCCCACAGGGTCCGGGACCCACAGAGAGTGTCATGGTCCCTGGGGGAGCACAGGGATTAGCAAGTGTCCCTGCAACATTTGATCCTCTTCACCCCACATGCCCCACCCACCAGGTATGGAAACATGAAAAGGGAAGCCAAGAGACGACGCGAAAGCCTGAGAAGAACCCAGAACCATCCAGCTGACGGGAAACAAGTCAGGCTGGGCTCCCCTCACCCTTAGCTGGGCCTCTCAGTCCCCAACCTGGGAACTTCTCAGTGGCCTGATCTGGTTTTGGTCTTCCCACCTTCTTGAGCTGTAAAGCCCCAAACAAAGGTCACACAGGGACTGGAGGGGGTGTGACCTCTAAAAAGCCACTTGCCAGGAAACTGACAGGGGGCCGGGGTGTCTGTGTGGGAAGCTGATCTACTCTACCCTCCTTACAGTGTCCCATGAGCAAGCATGACAGGAGCCTCTGCAGGCTCTTCTAGGACCAATCAGAAGGAGCTCGGCACACAGAAAGTGCATAATAGTTGTGTAAGAAGTATGTTAGTGTCACACCTGAGTGAGATGTATTTCAATACAGTAAGACCTATTTCCGGGGCTGGAGCTATAGCACAGCGGGTAGGGCGTTTGCCTTGCACGCAGACGACCTGAGTTCGATTCCCAGCATCCCATATGGTCCCCCGAGCACCAACAGGAGTTATTCCCGAGTGCAGAGCCAGGAGGAACCCCTGTGCATCACTGGCGTGACCCAAGAAACAAAACAAAACAAACCTATTTCATAAGGTTATCTTCATAAGTCATCATACAGACGACGGAGATATGCACCGTTTACATAAATGCAGGTACATTTGATTCAGATGTAGGCACAAACTCCATATCCACACGCTATGGAGCCAGAAGCTTTAGAGAAAGCTCTGGCCTATTTAGAAGTGGGGTCCAGCCAACAGTTCTAGGTGGTGGTGGTGGGTTGGTCTGGCGGGGGGGGGGGGGGAGTTCTATACTGTGGAAGGAAGAACGCCTCAAGAGTCACTGGAGTTTAGTTCATTAACACAAGGGCTATCTTCAAGCGTTACTGGCTGGGCTCGGGTTAGCTTTCTCCGCCTCTAACAGACCAGGAAGCTGAGGTTGGAGGGTGAAGCAATCCGTCTCCTTGGGGTTGGGGGGGGGCTCCCTCTGCCTGGGGCACACTAGCTCTGTGTGTGTGGGGTGGGGTAGGGGGGTAGATTGCAGCTGTTTCTCTTTCCACAAAGCAGAAGGGGCCATGCCAGGAAAGCGTGCGTGTGGGGGCTCAGAGCCCAAAGAAGTGAACTCACTGAAGTTCCTGTGCCCCCTGCTGCCCCCCACCCCTGGGCAGGAGTCCGTCCCTGGCATTTCGGTCCCCCCACCCTGGGGCTCCCGCTTCCCCTCACCTCACGTTCGCAGAGAAACAAGCCGTGCAGCAGAGAACCCCGGGCTCTGGTGGGTCCTGGCAGACGGTCGGGGGGCACCCAAAAGGAAACTCATTCTCATCCGGAGCCGGGCGGGGACTATTGGCAGAGCCAGAGGCCATGCCGGGGGTCCCAGGCTAGCAGGCGCGGGGGGGAGCCCTTCAGAGCTCTGGCTGGGTCGGGGTGTCAGGGGAGAGGAAAGAGCTGGCTCCGGGCTCCTTCTCTGGTGAGTCTGATGACTTTATCTTCTCTCTGACTCGTGGGGAGCATTGTCATCGTCACAGCTGAGTCATGCCAGGATGGGGCAGGAATTACCCTCTGTGGTGAGAAAAATCCCCAGGACGGTGACTGAAGGCTCGAACACTGTCCAGTCAGTCTGCAGCATGAGAGTGAGCGGGAGGGCGTGCAGGGGGTGGCCGGGGGTGGGGTGGGGGTGGGGACTGGGAACCACAGGACTTGCAGGAAGCACAGTGAGGGCTTGCAGAACCACCTCATCAGGGCCTGGATCACAGACTACCAGCCACTTGCTTATGTTTACTAGAATTTTCTGCGGGGATGCTGACCTCCCTGGTGGAAATCCCCAGGGCTGGGAGAACAGGTGGGGGAACGGGAGACACAGAGGATAGCGGGGGAGATAGTGGGTCCCAAAACCTCAAGTTCTGGGAGTTTTTTTTTTTGTTGTTGTTGTTTTGTTTAGAGAGAAATATAGAAATATATGCCTCTTGGAGAGCCCAGCAAGCTACTGAGAGTATCTGCCCACACGGGCAGAGCCTGGCAAGCTCCCTGTGGCGTATTCGATATGCCAAATACAGTAACAACAACAGGTCTCATTGCCCTGACCCTGAAAGAGCCTCCAATGGTTGGGAAAAGACGAGTAAGAAGATGCTGCTAAAATCTCAGGGCTGAAAGGAATAGAAATGTTACTGACGCCCACTGTAGTAAATCAATGATCAACGGATGACAGTGATGGAGTGATACAGTTGTTTTGTTGTTTGGGGCCCACTCCGATGGTGCTCAGCTTACTCTTGGCTTGTGCTCAGGGGTTAATCCTGGCAGGGCTCAGGGGATGATATGAGGTGCTGGGGATCCAACCTCAATTGGCTGCATGCAAGGCAGAAAAACGCCTTACCTGCTGTCCGCATGCTCTGCCCCAGACCTGCTGTCCTTTTTCCACTGAGTCAGGTTAAAAGTCTGTCTCTCATGGCAGGTCTCGGACACCCCAACTGTGAAAGAGAAAGGATTGGTCACTGACAGTTCCCAAGTCCCCACGGGGTACGGAGCCTAAAGCTCTAAGACCGAGGCTGTGGGGAGGTGCCCCAGCACCCTCTGCCCTTTTGGTCCTGGCCCTGTGGATCACAGGCGCCCACAAAGACTCATTACGCAAGACTGGTGAGGCCGTTGCCTGTGGTCCTGCTCAGGAGGCCAGAGGTGGCCTTACGGTCAGCACGGGTGCCAACCCCAGGAGACCGCAGAGCCTGGCGTGGAGGTGAGAACATTGAGCCCCGTGTTCTCACCCCTGCACCCCTGTGCCATCCTGTGGGCTGCCACCTGATGTTCTGCAAACATGTATCAGTAGTTTCAAACCCGGGGCTTGGCTGTCAAACAGATCCAAGTGGGATAACACCCGTGCCCCCTCTCCTCCCCACCAGCCCCATTCTTTACCTTCTCTGAATCTCAGTTCCTGCCTCTGCTGAGTGGGGATGACAGTCATAAGCCCCCCTTCCCCCAACTCAACTGGCCACTGGGGTGACTCACTGCTCACAGTGGAGTGTGGTCTGTTCTGGGGTCAAGGGGAGCATGGGAAAGGTTGGGACCCGGGTGCGGTGATGCCACACCAGAGGGCGGAAATGGGTTACTAGCCTCACAGCCATCAGTGCACAGTGGGCACATCCCGGGCCAGAGCTTCCCTCTCCCCCCTCCCCGCCTCCGGCCCTTGGCCCTTGGGACAGACCATACTCCCGCTGTGAGCACTGGGTCACTCAGCACCCACCCAGCTGAGTTGGGGGCAGGGAGTTTCAGGTCCTCCTCACATTATGTGGCTCTCCCAGTGTGGCCTTCCCCCACGTACCTCAGCCTGCCCGGGTGGCCTGGTGGAGTCAGGTAAGATACCTGGAACCCTCCTTCAGAGGCCAGGTCCCAGACAGGCGCCCCTGACCCCCACCCCCCACACTCTCCAGCACCCCACTTTCTTGCTGCTTCCCTTGGTTTGGCATAACCAGACTCTCTCTAGCCTCTTCTCTCTGTGTCTGGGGCTCCCTCTGCAGAAACTGGGCTGATTTTTTGAGTGCTGGCGGTGCCTTTGTTTCCTCAGTGAGCCCCATGAGGCAGGTCTGATCTCATCATCACTCCCAACTTAGAGAAGAGGCAACTGAGGCACAGCCGGGAAGCGACTTGCCAAGGTCTCACAGAAAGTGGGGCCTCAGGAAGCCCTTCCTTTCTCCTTCACCCCAACCTCCACTCCAGCAGTTATACCTGCTCCCCACTTGGATCCGAACTTACAGGAAAGACCATCCTCTCAGGGTCCCTGATTCCGAACTCCTGGCTTCCTCAACAGCAAGGCTGCCAGCCGCCCCAACCCCAGCTTTCTCCTCTGCAACCCTCCTAGAAGCAGCTTCCTCTGTCTCCTGGCACTTGTCCCCCCCACTCCCCCGGCTCAGCTCTAGCTGCAGAATCACCCCCTTCCCTTCTGAGTCAGTGTCCTGTGGCCCCAATTTCGGGGTTCCACATGCAACGTGCTGTTCCTTAGTCCAGATCTTCCACTTGCCCTTGGGGTGGGGTGGGGCGGCACCTGGACCGGAAGCCACTTCCCCAGTTACGCCCGGTAGCCCGGTAGGTAGGTCCGTCCCCTCCCTCCCCACCCAGATGGAGCTGGACGCTGGCTTTGTTATTCTTACTCTGTGCTGCGGGCAGAAGGTTGCAGTTTGCGCGCCCCCGCGCAAGGCGCTGGGTGCAGAGGCGAGAGACCCTCGAGGTGGGAGGGGTGTGGGGGTGGGGTACTGGGCCTGGGTGCAGCGCCACCCACCCGGGACGTGCCGCCTCCCCCCCCCCCCCCCCCCCGTACTTACTCTGGGTGCGAGGATGTGGCTGCGGGCGGTGGAAACCCAGGGCCGCCTAGGATGCCCTGGGGGTGGAGCCCGAGCTTCCTCGCTGGGGAAACTGAGGGCTGGATTTTTAGGTACCCACCCCGAAACAGTCAGTACGCGGAAGCGTCGGCCAAGTGTAGGCTATTAGGGGAGCACGGAGTGGGGCGCCGGACCCGCACCCCAAAATCCCGATCTCATGCCGAGGCTTCTGCGAAGGCGCCAGCTTTATCCCGGGCTCCTGGTCCCGAGCTGCGCCCAGCGGTCCCCGGGGCGCCCAGCCAGAGAGGCCATGGGGGTTGGGGTGGGGGGGTGGTTCCTGATGCTTTGGAGGGTGCGCGCACAGCTAGCAGGGCCGGGAGCCACGCGGGTGGGTGCGGACACCCTTCTGTAGCCGACCCGGAGAAGCCGTCCTCCCGCAGTGGAAATGGGTGGCATACCGGTATAAGAAAACAATAAAAAAGACGTTAAACATCCACGGATCCCCGCCCCCCTCTTTTTTTTTTTTAAATTTTGAACGACACCCGAAAGTGCTCAGGGATCACTCCTGGCAGAGCTCTGGGGACCCTTTGGGGGCAATCCGGATAGAATCCAAATGGGCCACATGCAAGGGAACACTTTCCTTTGCTGTCTATCTCTCAGGTCCCCCCACAGGAACATTTTTTTTTATTCCCCTGGGTTTGTGCATATAAATGAAAATAGGTATGGTACTTAGCTCTGGTATTGGACATTTAATTACAACATTTATTTATTTATTTATGCTCAGGGCTTACTCCTGGCTCTGTGCTTAGGGACCACTCCTGTAGGGCCTGCCGGCGGAGTCGGGGGGAGGGGGGGGACCAGAGGAGATGCTGGGGATTGAACCCAGGTCTTCCAGGCAGGTGCAGAGCTAGTATATTGGAGTTTTGTTTATTGGAGTTTCTCGTGTTCAAGACCCAAACCACCTTTGTTTCAGCTAATTTGCTCAGGACTCCTGGTTGAGAGCCAGGCTGCCCTCAAGGTGGTGGGTATTTTTAAGGACTGGAAAACACCTGGTCAATTTTCGGTATGTATTAGGGTACATGCTTTTGTCTTGACTGCCCACCTGAAGCTGGGAATTGACCTGACTGAGGGCTTTGGTTTTGTTGGGTTTCTCAGCCTGTGATGTTTTGAGCCTCTCACCCACCTACCTGCCACAGGCCAGCTCTAGCTTCTGAGTCACCCATTGTTGCTGCAGGGGGCAGGAGGGCTGGAGAGGTACCTGCCCACCCCCAGTAAGAAGGGAGCTCAGAGAGCCTCCGTGGAAGGTAGGCGGAGGATTTTAACAGAAAGAAAAAGGGTTCTGAGGGCTGGAGCAATAGGACAGCAGGTAGGGAGCTTGCTTGCCTTGCATGAGGCCAATCTGGGTTCGATTCCCAGCATCCCATATGGTCCCCTGAGCACTGCCAGGAGTAATTCCTGAGTGCAAAGCCAGGAGTAACCTCTGAGCATCTCTGAGTGTGACCCAAGAAGCAGGGTTCTGAATTCCTAGTTTCCAGTATAAACATTCATAGGTTCTCAGCCCAATCCATGAAGAAATTAGTGGTTTTTTTTTTTTTTGTTATTCTGCTGTCTTTTTTTTTTTTTTAAAATCAAGTGAAAAGTATTGGGGATACCTGTTTTCTGGTTTCCTCTCCCTCTTACGACCCACTCCCTTCCTTTCCACCCCAAGCCAGTGTAAGTGATAAGAACACACAGTTTGAGCTCACTCCCTTCATGGCCCACATCCTGTTTTCAGATTAACTAGCTCCTAGGATGGAAATTTACCAAGGGAAATAGTTTAAGTTTGGAAAGTACCAAAAACTTACTGGTAGTCACTCAGCTTAATCTGGGGGGGGGGGGGAATCTTGAAATAAGAGAGGCATCACCTGGCAATGTGGGGGGAGTGTGTGTTGCCTCTGGGTGCTCAGGGAAGGGAAGAAACTGCCACACTGAGCTCAGTGGGGCCAAATCTGACTCAGAAAGGAAATGAAACCGAAAGCCGGGACACCACTCAAGTCTACCAAGGAGAACCAAAATGGGCT